AATTCAACCTCAGTGAGAAAATCCACAACATACTTGTGCTAATTTAAAAACAAACCCTATTGAGATGTTGCCATTTCAATGCTAAGGAAGTATTTTAGTCTCCCCAGGTCCTTTATGGCAAAGATGTGATTGAGAGATTTCTTGAGAGCTTCAATTTCAACTTCTGATGATGAGATCGTCCACATAACCACCAATATACCAGCTAATCCTTTACGAGTGAACAAGGATGGGTCCACATTACTTTGAACAAAACCAGCAACTTCCAACACTGAACTTAACTTTGCATACCATGCATGTGGAGATTGTTTCAAACCATAGATTGCTTTGTGCAATCGACACACCATATATCATTTTTATCTTAAGAAGAACCTGGTAAAACGTATTTTTGACATCCATTTAATACAATGGCCAGCCACAATTCACAGCCACTGAAAGAAGAACCCCTAACAAAGTTCATTTTGGCTACTAGAGCAAATGTGTCCTTGTAGTCTACCCCAAACGTTTGAGTGAAACCACATGCAACCAATCTGGCCTTGTGACGTTCAATTGATCCATTAGCCTTGAATTTTGTTTTATAGATCCATCTACTCCTAACAACCTTCTTTCTTGGGGGTGACTTCACAATGCTCCATGTTTGATTGTTTTCCAAGGCATGAAGTTCATCCTTCATTGCATTTCTCCACTCAGGTATTAGTTGAGCCTCTTGAAAGGTTTATGGTTCAATGTGAACTAAGAATGTGGCATGATTGGGGTGAACACAACTATAACTCAGCACCTCAGTAATGGGGTGTTTGGAAGTGAAGGTGACATAGTCTCGGAGCCTTGCGAGAGGTTGTCGAGCATGCACCAGATTACGCCTTGAAGGAGGTAAAGTGGGAGCCTCTTTGTGACTTTCATCCTTAAGTAGACTCAGTACCATCCTCCAGGTTTCTTGGTTAAGAAGACACATGAGTAGTTTCACCACAATCTCTGCTTGTTCATGACTGTCAGAGTCTTCTGGATCCAAGTGCACTGAGTGATCAATGCACACAGGCAAGGGAAATAAATCACACATTAGCTCCCCCTCTCGGGAGTGAGCAACCTCCTTGGAGAAATAGTGAGTTGTTCCTCAAATCTTACATCCCTAGACACAATCATCTTGTTAGTAATAGGATGAAAACATTTGTAACCTTTTTGGGAGGATCAATATCCCATGAAAACACACTTTGCAGCCCTAGCATCCAGTTTGTCATGGTGCAATGCTTGAACATGAACAAAGCACGTGCAGCCAAAGACTCTCAAATGTGATAAAGTTATACGTCTTCCTTTAAGAGTTTCATAAGGAGACTTAAACTCTAAAACACGACTAGGCAATTTGTTAATTAAATAGGTTGCAATGAGAATGGGTTGTGACCAAAATTTCTTTGGTATGTTCATAAGCAACATCAATGCACGAGTCTCCTCAAGTAAATCCATGTTCTTTCTTTCAGAGATCTCATTTTGTTATGGGGTTCCCACATAGCTTGTCTGGTGAACAATACCATGAAGGCTCAAATATTGACTCATATTGTTGGATAAGAACTCAGGGCCATTGTCAGTTCTTAGGTTCTGAATGGTTGACTGAAATTGAGTTATGACAAGTTGATAAAAGTCTTTGAACATAGTGAAGACATCATTTTTTTATTTTAATAGATATAGCCATGTTGTTCTAGAAAAATCATCCACAAAGATAACAAAATAAAGATTCAATAGTTGGATCCCAAACATCAGAGTGTACAAGTTCTAAGGGTTTGCTAGCCCTAGACATTGAGGAACTAAAAGGGAGCCTAGTAAACTTGGAGAACTAACAAGTATCACATATTACAGATGATTGATACTTTTTGGGAAAGAGTTTAAGCAAAGCAGTCTCTGATGGATAGGCGAATCTTTGATGCCAGATTTGTTGGTCCTTGGAAGAAATTGAATCAACTTGGAAAGCTTTAACTAAACCAGGTTCCTTGCATAGATAGTAAAGACCATTCAGGAAGAACCCTTCACCAATCGTCTTCTTGGTAAGAGAATCATGAAACATAACACTACTTGGTGAGAAAGTGACAAGACAATTTAGGGTTCTAGTGATTTTTCCTATTGATAGAAGTTGAAAAGGAAAGGTAGGAACAAACAATGCAGTAGACTCAAGGTTGTTTGAAAGCAACTTTACGTTTCCCACGCCCAAAACCATGGCCTTTTTTCCATTAGCAACTAACACATGAGAGGGTTTTGACAAAGTTTGAAAACTGTGTAAGTTTGAGGCTTTGTTTGTCATACGGTCAGTCGCTCCTGAGTCAATAATCTAACAATCATGTTCAATACTAGTGTGACGAGCAGTTGAGAATGCACTAAAAATACATGGAGCTTTGCTTCTTGGTATATTCTTATTTAAGTAAGGAAACTTGCGAACTGTCCCAGTAGCGCAGTGGGATTTTCAGTTGTACCCCTTGAGCTTTCTACAGCTTCTCTAGGTCCCTTGGTTTGCATGTATATTGCAAAGTCATTTATGAGCGAGACAGGATTTGAAGTGAAGTCTTGAATGCTCTTAGAGAATGAAGTATAGATGTGATTTGCTACATGCTGAGGTTTGTATGAGCCAGTATGGAACTGTCTTGAAAGAATCATTCTGTGTTGAACTTAGGTTTCAATTCGAGGTGCAAAATCCAACACCTTTCCTCCACGTGACCTACAACATCACAGTAACTGCACTTTAAGTGTGGATTTTTACCCTTGTAAGGCTTGTTGTCTAAGGGTTTATGTTTGGCAACATAGACTCTTGACTCAGAAATCTTGGAATTCTTCTCCAAGTTCATCACCATTCTTCGAGCTTCCTCACGTTGAACCATGACACACACCGTTTTGAAGGAAGGAAGTTCGACATTCATCAGGATGTGACTCCTGAGATCCTCATAGTCCGAGTTCAAACTAGCAAGCAGTTGATATATCTTATCTTCTTTAGCTCTTTTCAGAAGAATTGCAACATCAATGGTGTGAAATAGATAAACATCTAACTCATTCCACATAGTCTTAAGACTTCCCAAGTGCTGCACAAAGGTTTTTCCATCTTGTTGAAGACTGGCAATGTCCCTCTTTAGCTGAAACACTCGTGCATAATTATTTTGATTCCCGTACATGTCCTTCACAGATTTCCACAAATCATGTGAGGATTCGGAATAGCTGAAGATTTCAGCGATATGTTTCTCCATTGAGTTGAGAAGCATTGACATGACTTGTTGGTCCTTGCACAACCATGCTTCATATGCTTGGGTAGAAGGCTCGGGTGCTTCAACTGCTCCATTGATGAACCCTAGCTTTCCTCTTCCACCCAGAGCAAGAGACACTATTCTAGACCATGGGAGATAGTTGAATTCATTCAACAAAACTGAGCATAAACACATATTCGTATTTATCTCAGTATCTGGAACGAAAGAAGGAGAACTTTGTGAGTTTTCTCCCCCAAGGTTTACTAAACTTTCTTCAAACCATAACTGGAGCTTGAAGATGAACAACAGTGGAAAAAAAATGGGCAGAGACAGGTCAAGGACGACACTGCTCTGATACCATGTGGAAATTTTAAGTTTGTTTGAATGTATTTTTCATAGATTGATTGCATGTACAAAGGGGGATATATAATGAGGTAGAAGGTTACAAGCAACCCTACCTTGGCAAATCCTACTAACCTGGTAAATCCTAAAGCTATCACTCCTTAAATTAAGGGAGTGTAGCAAGTAGCTAGCACACAACTATCAACAAGTCATCTAGATGTCAATCTTCCTCGAATTAAGGGATTAGACTTAATAGAGAATCCCATGGAAAGAGGGAACATAAAATTTGGCAGCATCAATCACCCCATATCGTCTAATAAATACCAACCCGTAGATGTGCATGTTTTTCCTTTATATTTTTCACATTTATGTTTGACTATTTGTCGAGATACTTTCATTTAATTTTTTAAATAATAACACCAATCTTTATTTCGACAACAAATGCAGACAAATACACGATATATACAATTTTCCTTCATTTTGTTAAACAAATACAACATGTGCATCCAGTCTCAACATTTCCCAGAATTCTTGTGGGTTTTAGTTCTGACTTGGCATCGTCTGGGGTTAGATATACAATTTGTTACTTGCTGGAGCACTGTATGGTGGATGTCTTGGTCACAACTGCAAATGCCTCGCAGGCTCTGTTGGTAATTCCAAACTTTCTGGTTGGTTCATATATACAGAGGAAGATCTCGTAAAATGCCTCGCAGCCTCCTTGTTACCGTGTCATTGCAACACCTGATTATCACCTTCGGAAATGAAATCACAAATACAAAGCATGCTGTCATTAATTTGAACATATATTTTGGCTATGAATGGTGAAGTTCTGCATGCAACTCCACGAAAGACGGGAATAATCATCCTCGGAACATCACATTTGCAGCGCCAATTGATTTCATGATGGCATGGATTATGCTGTCTTTATCAATACTTAGTGCAAATTCGATGACAGTTATTCTGGAGCTCAGCCTGATGAGGCTGTATCATATGGAAATATAAAAGCTTCTGCATTAAGCGTTTAAGGTATACTAAATGATTTCCTCTTGCTTGGTTGAACCAGGTACATTCCTATGTTACTTAATTCAAGTTGGATGTATTTTGGGTTAGTACTTCATTACATAGCTTGAGAAAGACGTTTGCAGAATCATTCGCCGTCAACATCGAAGGATTTGCAGCTGGTACAGTGAGCCTCTGAACTTAGACACCCAATTTTGTTCATAGCACTGAGGAAGCTCCAGTGCCAATTCCGGTTCACTTTCTTAGCAACCAAGGAAGCGACAAGTGTTGAGGGAAGCGAGGAATCAAGAGGGTATGTACAAACAGCATGTCAAACCAAGCAAGCAAGAACAAAATCGCCAGCGTAGAGAAACTAAAAACCGCATCTAATCAAATATTTGATACGAGTTTTGCCTTTTTAACAAAAGAAGAGTGGACACTGTGTGCTAGATCCTAATTATTAGTTTTCTTTCATCTCAAAACTGAAATTCTGTTTATATGAAGACATTACAACTGCAGAAGAATTACATGAAATGTACGGGAAGAGCCACAAAGGACTCTTCTCCATCCATATGTTCTCCATAATCACATACAACTGCAAACCAAATTAAACTAAATCCCGTTCCGCAGCCAAATCCGGCTATATCCTCTGCGAATTGTATTGTTTCCCTTCCCAAATAGCCCTGTAGTTCTATAGTTATCTTGTTTGTTTGTTGAAAAGCATACCCTTCTAATGGTTTTTCGTTAGCTGCCAACCCCGCGTCCTGTGAATCTCTAATAGTTCTTCCAACTCCTAGGTGCATGTTTTTCCTTTCCTTGATAGCTGCATCTATATACATTGATCTTATAAAACAACCCAGGAGGAGGCTCTTACTTTTTTCTAGGAGTACTCTGCATATTCCGGAGGACGGTTTTCAGTTGCTAATTTGGAACACCTCAACTAATGACAATGCCTGCTGTTATAAAACCATAGGCAAGGTAGAATTCCGTCATTCCAAATGGTGAAACACACACAACACGCATTTCTATTTCATCCCTCCTGAGAACCACACAAGCCGGAGCCACTCAATCCACCACACTAGATAAATGCTTTTAGATCGATCACGTCACCAACAGAATAAGCTCTGCAATTACAGTCCAAAACGCAAGATGGTCTAAATATAAACTTGCAATAGATCTGAGATACAAATAAACTTGAACTGGTTAAGCATGTATTAGGTATTTAGTTACATACAAATTTCTTTTCCTTGTCAACGGAGGCTAGAAGCTCCTCTTGTTTAAGACGGGCTTCCTCCAGTGCCTAAAAAAAAAACAAACAAAAAAACAACATGTATAAGTTTTCCTTTTCTTGCTTCAATTTTAACTGCAATAATAGAATTGAAAAATATCAAGACATTACCTTCTTGGCTTCTGTCAGCTCTTGTTCCAAAGCTTTGATGCGGTCAAGAGCAGCCTTTAGCTTTTCTTCTTTCTGCATCTCAACCTTGAAAACCATTCGCACAAAAAGAAATGGATATGATTACATTTATTGTTGTCTTGATTTGGATCTTTCTTTTTCTGGTATGCAAACTTCAATAAAAGAATTCAAGAATATCAAGATGATTACTTGCTTGGTTGAAGACAGCTCTTGTTCCAAGGCACTGAGTCGATTGAGAGCAGCATTCAGCCTTTCTGCCTCTCTCTCAGTTCCCTTGCAAACCATTGAATCAACATCATCATATCCCATCGGATACATTCTCGGTGTTAAAAGCTGCACAAGATGAAGCAAATGAGCATATCATATAATAAGGCCCAGCAAGTGCCATGTCCAGAATTTTCTCCCTATGAAGGCAAAGTTGAACTATAATAAGACTAAATATTTCAAAAAAGAGACAGTTAGAGAGTTAGTGTTAACTGATTGATAAATATGCGAAAAAGATAAAGGGCCCTGCTTACTTCTTCAGGCAAAGAAGAGAGATGGTCTGAGTGCGTTTCAGCCTCTAAAAACGTATCTGAGCAGAAAGAATCCATTCTCTTCATGTGGTAGCATACCAAGAGAAAATAGCAACAAAATCAACGTCAGGAAACTGAGAATTTTATAAAATCTGAGACAAGAAGGTTTGAAGATGGGCCATAAACACACAAAAATGAAAAGGCAACTTGAGCCAAGGTCTGAGTACATTTGTGCAAGCCATCGCGTCTTTGGGGATTAACTTCTCTTCAGAGACTTTTGTCTCCTCTTTAGAGACTTTTGGCTCCTCTTTAGAGACTTTTGGCTCCTCTTCAGAGACTTTTGTCTCGTCTTCAGATATTTTCTTCTCCTCTTCCAATATTTTCTCCTCCTGTTTCTCCTCCAGATCGCCTGATGAAGTGTTGCTTGTGCATTTGGCCTCACGAATACTCTGAACCATCTGCCTCATCAAAATAACAGATTTGGAGATCATTTTCACATTACAATACAAATTAGGATAAAAAAAAAAATTCAATTACTTGCTGATAAATTCGGTTGGTTTACCACTATCCCCAAAGGCTAAGCTGTTATATTGTTGGACAACATTTATTTAATTCCAAAACTCTCCCTCACATATGGCCTCTCTCCAACACTTATATTGAAAGGTTGTAATTGCAGGCGTTCAAACTAAGGCTGTTGATTTTCCATTTTCCTAAAAGCTCAAGTTGTTAACGGTCAAAAATTATTTCATATTCGAACTGTAGAAAATCACCTTGATTATTTCTGTATCGTTCCATGGGCCCTTATCAGAGAGCATGCAACCACCCTTATCAGCACAAGTGCAACTACCACCGAAAAACTCTGGTAGCTCACTGCAGGTTCAACATAAAGAAGAGTATTATAACAGGAAGCTTGGTTAGCTCAGACTGAACAAGATACAGACGAAGAAATGTAAAGCAAGATGAAGAAGTGGATAGAAGAAAAAATAGTTTTCCTAGAACGATACTTACGTGGCCTCAATTATTTCAAGCAACTTGCTCTGATATTGATTTCCCAGAACCTGATGCAAAATATCAACAACTTTAGCACCAGTACTAGATAAAAAATTTCACTAGTTTAGAGTGAAGAAGGGACGAAAGCTTACATTGATTTTCGAAGTGGTCTTGGGATCAAGGAAAGATTTGACAGTGTTCCATAAGAGCCTAAATCCAGAACCAGCATTGATGATGAACATACGGTTCAGGGTCTACGTTAAAAAAAAGTTCAATCAGCACCACAGAATATGAAAACTATCTTTCATGATAGTTAAACAATCCAAGAATCTTGTTTCACGCAAAACTTGAAATCATACAGCCTTTTACAGGATACCTCAGGATAATTGTCACCATCAACCTTCTGAAGGCGCTGGATGAGTTCCCTTGCAGATTTATTTAAACTTGTAAGCCCCTGCGGATCAAGTAAATATATAAATATAACCCATCATGTTTGACACCACAATAGTTAGATCTAACAAGAAGATCTCCTTAATAAATGAATTAGAATATCAGTTTCTCTACAGAATAATTGGATATCTCCAATTAACCAATATTAAGAGAGTTTTCACATACCACTCCTTGGACATCAAGAATAGTGGTACTCTGATCGATGTGCTTTTTTGCTGCAACGGAACAGGCAGGGAATTTACAGATAAAGGTCCTCTCAAACTCCCGTACGTGGTACCTTAAATACCGGTCCATTGTTGTTGCTTGCATCAGCTTATTAGAATCGACTTGACCCAGTTTCTCAATGTACACAGGCCGTCCATCCTTATCAACTCCATGATGCCCTTGTGGATAGTATTTCAAGACTTCATCGACTTCCTTGAACTCAAAGTCCTTAGCGAAAAAACAAAAGGAAAAATTTCAGACAAACAACAGCTATTCCAACTAAACCAATCTCCACCATATTCCAAGTTCAACATAAGCATTGAAAACTACCTCCATAATAGTGTCAGCACCATATTCCTGCCTCCATTGGAGCATGTCAGACCACATTTGCTTTGTTTTCTCAACATCAAATTTCCGGGCCCTTAAAAATCTGCACCATCATACAACAGTATAACAAACAACCTATTCATAACCGGATATAGCAACTCGGGCATAAAAAATTGTTATGGCCAATCAAAACAGAGAATAAGTAACCTTAACAACATATGAGTATCGTCATGTTTCAAGGGCAGTAGTTCTTCCGAAAGAAGTTTTTGCCGGAATTCCTGAGCTGCCTTGAGCTCCTCGGCATCAATGTCGTCCTCCATAGGGAAAGACATTACTTTACTGTTCCTTCGACCCTTATTGAAGGAGTTTGTAATCATGTTTGCTGCCTTCTTGAAAGATCCAAGCTTTGTTTTCCTCTCGTCCTCAGAGTTCCCATCTGCACACAGAAGTAATCAAAATAAATTGACCCACAAACACAAATGGGTCTTTCTCTCCCTTTTCCATCTTCTGCTAGACAGTTAATCTTCGCTATATCGTTCCAATTTTATCGGATTTCCGAACAAAATGCAAACAAAATTCATATGAATTGGGAGAAACCAAACCAATATGTTCCTCTGGTAAATCAAATCAATCAAACTAAAACTATGAAATTATGAATATAACCCAAAACAATTTCAACAAAAAGAATATCTTTTTTTAGATTCCATTGTACTATTTTTGGCCGTTACAGAAGGAAATATCAACTTGTAAAGTAAAAGGTATATTCTTAAACAAATTTCTCTATAAATATCTAAAGAAAACAGTGACTTTCAGGTTTCAACTCACCCAGCTGCTTTGATTTTGATTAAGGACATCAAATCTTGATATTCTTCTGTCAAAAATGTATGGGGCTGAAACCAAAAATCTGAATCCATGACCTCCAACATGGTGGTTGATGGATCCCAAAGGGACCTGACTACTTGGTGGATAAGAACATGCCTGCACTCCTCCCCTCCTCACATGGAGGAAGGCACATTTTCCTACGTTACAGGTGGTCTGAAGGCCACAAGGTGGCACGTGGATTTCACAGGCCGCTCCTGGCACATGGAAACGATGTCAAAGCGGCGTCAACGCAACCCCACGCGCGCGAAATCTGTTATTCTTTTGGTTTTTGCTATGATCTAGTCGTAATTTATTCTTCAAATTATTGTATTTTTATTACGTCTTTTGTGATGCATTGTTTCGAATTAGCCAAATTATTATAAGGCTTAAATATCAAAATGGTCATTGTGTTATAATTATATGACTAATTTAGTTTCTTTGTTTTATATTTGGTTAATTTAGTCATTGCGTTTATCTTTATTAGCCAATTAAAGACGTTTCATTTAATCTTTGTTAAAAAATTTATAAGAAAAACTATAAGAGATATAATTATCCTTTTTACTTTACAGAAAAATGCGAATTAATGAGAAATAAAACTTCCCATCTAAAAAATGATTAAGGTTGTGACATAAAAAAGAGAGGAGGTAACGTTAGGGAGGAGGCCGGGAGAGTTGGGAGAAGAATAATTTTTCTTCTAGTTTTTAATTGTATTTCATTTTTAAATATTTTAAATCAAATAAATAAGTCTATAGTAATTTATAAATTTTTACAGAAATTAGATGGAAATGTCCTTAATTGGCTAATTGAGATCAACTCAAGGACCAAATTGACCAAATTGAAAACATAAGGACTAAATCGACCTAATGACTAAAACAAATGAACCATTTTACCATTTAAGCCTTATTACAATGATGATGTTGTCATGTGATAATTTGAGACTGTTATTTGAATAGCTGACAATGCTTTTAGATAATTAAATGTGTTACTAATCCAATTTGATAGTAAATCTTAGAAATGTTTTAATTTGATAGTAAATCTTAAAAGTGTTTTTGCATCATAATGCGTGTTTTGGAAGCACATAAATATTAGGTAACACTTCAAATGTTTTTTTAAAAAGCACTAGGATTTCTACGAAATAAATTATGAGAAAAAAAGGTACTTCTCATAAAGTAGGACATGTATACCTTTAGTGTTGGACGAAAACAAGTAGTAAATTTTTAGTGTGGCATTTTGTCGAAGAGCTGGTGGGCCATAATCCTCTGACAAGCTGTTGTGGTTGTCAACAAATGCCAATAACTTTCGAACGAGTCTATCAACATACTCAAGATAGTCTATCACTAGATATCGACAACAGAGCACACAAAGGCGATGCCAAGTCTCTTAGGCATTTTGTCGAACAACTTATGTGAACGAAGTAGTTACCACCCCGATGAACACTATGGCCAGTCGACAAGCATTTTACTTAACATGAAATATTTCATCATAGTATATGCTAAGACCAACTTCAAGGGAGAGACGAATTCAAATATTTGGGTTTAAACCCAAAAATTGCAATTCAATGGGGAGACCTAACCCCAAAAGCTTCGGCTTTGGACCCAAACTAAAACCCAACAATTTTTGGGGGCCACGCGCTTTTTTGAAAAACAGTGCTGATGATGAACTATATCCGCCGATAGATGGGCCCTAACTGGCAAGGGGACCCAGTCGCAAAACGTTAACATTTTAGGGGCCTCAATGGCCGTTCGATTTCTGGGCCGTTGGTGTTCAACGGTCCAGATTGAAATCCTTTTTTTTTTGCAATCTATAGATTTTGATCTAACGGTTCATGTTTTTTTTTCAAATCCAACTGTAAAAAAAAAAAAATCCTACAGTGAAAATAATAAAATAATCTTTAAAAGCAATTCACTTTAAAATAAATTGGTTGAGTGGTGTGCTTTGTTTAAAACATTTGTAAAATTAAATTAAGAATACATTTCTCAAAGTTACAAATAAAAAATCCTTCCTGAAAAGAAAAAAAAAGAGTAGGATTAAAACCACTATTCTAAAAATTTTCGCGTAGCGCTATTTAGGCCTCACCTATGCGCTAGGCAGATGACCACTACACCGATTAATCCCTAGGTATTTGAAAATTAAGAAAGGGGGCCTAGGCCTGCTTAGGCACCTGCCTAAATCGCCTAGACCACCTAGCCACCCTCCTAGCCTGCCCAAACTTGCATAGGTCGCGACTCTCACTTATATAAAAATCAATAACTTTCATTTTGCATTTTAATTTTTTCAATAAATTGTAAGAGACTTGCTGAATATTTAGGTGAACACGAATTATATTCTTGTTTCTCATGCTTTCATTATGTTTTAATACTTTACAATCTATATGTCATTCAATTTTGCAGTTTATTACGATACATAATTAATTTACTTAAATCCACCTAGTCCACCTAGGCCCTTGCCTTGGCCCCGGTTAGGCGTTAGTTTGAGGATCTTTTAGAACCTTGGTTAAAACCATACCACCACAACTAATACATTTTAGGTCCTTAAATTTAGGTCTTGAAGGTTACATGACATTCATTGTTCAAAGACCTAAATTATGTTTTTTTGTGGACCTAAATATTTAGGTTTGGGTGCAAGGGTTGGGGCTGGTCTAAGAAGAGACTAGAAGAGAGCTAATCATAGAGAATGTTCAAACTTACGAGACAAATCAAAAATTAAAATTAATTTCCAAAACAAATTTGTTCATTATTTGGATGTATTAAGACTTACCTTGGAAATTGAAGATTGTCGACGGAGAAAGTAATGGAAAAAAGGAAACAAGAATTGGGATGCGGGGGAGAGAAAGCTTTGGAGTTTGTAGGATAGGAAGTTTTGGAGTTCGGGGGAGAAGAAAATGAGGGGGTTTGCGGAAAAAGATGAGGAAGAGATGAATGAGGAGAAAAGAGTGGATTTGGATTTTTTAAGAATCTTGGTGAACCCTTTGGGCGACAAAGTATTTGTCGCCTAAAGTTTGCATTTACTTGTTGGCTTAAATGTCTCAACTGACCATTTCAAACACTTTGCATGACAAAGACTACTGTTCGTCATGCAAGAACCACACTATGACGAAGCTTTCCCTTGCGCAATAAATTGGCGCCAAATCTTCATTTTATTGCATTTTTTCCCCCAAAGATTGGGCAACGCATATCCAGTTCGTCGTGCGAGGTCCTCTTTCACAAAGAATATCTTCGTCGCCTAAAGTTTTCAATTTTTTTTTGCCGGGACGATTGTGCAAAACAATGGCCTTACTATATTGTGCAAAGATCACTTGCACGACGAAAACTATTTCAACACCTAGAGTTTTGTCGCGCAAGTAGTTTTTCTACTAGTGTAGCTTGAAACTTGGGTATTGCACTTGCATATTGGACTAGAATTCGTATAGCGTATGTTTATACCTCATGCCCTGTGAGATATAGTTATATTATTGACCCTAATATTTAACTTAAATTATGCCATCAATATGGTACTTGATGTCTTTACTTTAGCATGTTTACTGAGAAAAATATACATGTAAACAAGAGAACTGCAAGATCTTATGTGACTTACGTAGCTAGTAGCATTTTTATCAACATAACCTGTAATTTATATGTGAGATTATCTCTTAATTTAACTAAAAGGAAGATATTAATTAAGTAGATGAAGAACGAGGAATTACAGTTTGTTCTCTGGAACCTTCATGCCATTCTAGTACCGTTTACTAGTTTGGATTCAAACGTATGTGAGTACGATTTGTATGTGTATTGACAGGCTCTTACCATGCAAACGAATCATTCTATATATCCATTTGCAATTGCTCCAGGCAAACTCTAATCTAAACATAAAGATAAACGCTAATATTTGTATAATACATCACTTTGGTCTCTGAGATTGAAAATCAATAGAAATGGTCCCTAAGATTGTCCACCATCCATTATTTTGGTCATTCCGTTGAAAGTTTGGGCAATTTTCAAATCTTCGTAACTCAATTGTTTCTTAACTTCGACCCATAATATATCAAAATGAAGATAAGAAAGTGTTGAACAATATTATACCTATTTGGAAGCCCAATGGTTGCTGGAGATGGTCGGAAAATAGCCTGAAAGGTGACTAGTCCGTGCAAAAACTAGAAAACTCGCCTGAAACTGGGTAAACTTCAAATGTTCATGACTTCTTCAATATTCAACGAAATTGAGTGATTCAAAAATGAAAATCATAGATGAGAAGAAGAGAATGGTACCTTTCTTGACGGCTAACTCTTCGTGGTTTGGCCGGAAAATAGCTCGAAAGTGGCTGTCTTGGTCTCGAGTTAGCCACTTTCGAGCCATTTTCTGGCCAAAAAGGCGAATTAGCCGTCAAGTAAGGTACAATTCTCTTTGTCTCGTTAAGAAGTATGATTTTCGTTTTTGAATCACTTGATTTTGTTGAGTATTGAAGAAATTATGAACGTTTAAAGTTTACCCAATTTCTGGCGAGTTTTCCAGTTTTCTCGCGGATCAGACACCTTTCAGGCTATTTTCCGGCCATCTTCGGCAACCATTGGCCTTCCAATACATAAAATCTTGTTCTAAACTTTCCTATCTTCATTTTAATAGATATGGGTAGAATCTGGTTAAAATACGATTGAGTTACGGAGCTTTGAAAATTGCCCAAACTTCCGGCCAAGAGCTCCGGGACACTCAGCAGAGTTTTTAACGAAATGACCAAAATAATGGATGGTGGACATCTCAGGGACCATTTCTATTGATTTTCAATCTTAGAGACCAAAGTGATGTGTTATGCAAATCTCAGATACTATTTTGGCTAAAAAGCCAAATATTTAAATTCAAATCCCTAATACATACAAGATGAAACCCTAATTAAAAAAAAACTCAAAAATTACTGTGTGTGATTCAACATCCAGAAGATCACAGATATACATAACCATCGATCAAAATATATATCCATTCAAGTATATGTGGGGTTTCATAAACCAAAGATCAGATGAAGATCATGCCAAATATTAATTGGATTGTCGTAATTACCAGGTTTAAGGTTTGGGTCAACATCAGCTCCAGACATAGTGCCACACGGGATTGATCAAGTGTTTGAGACCGCCAAGGGGTAGTAGATCCGTCAAGAACTTGTGTACATATATCACAAGGTGCTCAAAACTAGTGCCCCTCGGGGGATGTACCTCTACCTATAACGTAATTGTACACCAAAACAAAACATAGATTAAAAAACTACAAAAATCAAAACAATTGTGTCATTAACATGCATTCAAATAATTTAGAATGAAACTAAGCCTGCATTCAAATCATTTAGAATGAAACTAACATGATCGTTACGGAAAGAAAAAAAAGGGTAATTAACCATGGAGGTTGAAGATTTTGAGGATTAATCTAAAGCAAGAATTCGAGAATATGAGACAATTAATACCTTTTGACAAGAATGTAGGGGGTTAAGTGGGGCTAACAACTTCAGTGATGGAGCACTACACCCCCACATTCATGGTCAGAGTTCGACTTTCGTCCTTCCCCGCTCTTGTTCCTGCTTTAGACCTTCTTTGTATCCAAAAAAAAAAAAAAAAAAAAAAAAAAAAAAAGAAAGGGAAATGTAGAGGGTAAGAGATAAACGTGGTAGGCATATATATGATCCGGATTAATCTCCGAAGTTGTACGGCCAGAGAGGAGCAATGAGGATAACATGACTGATATAGAAAAGAAAGAGTCAAACAAGAATGGAGGTTTTTTGTTTCATTTTTCCATTGACATGAGGTCTCTTCTGTGTGCCATGCATTTGCATGCCCGCTTTGGATTTCTGTTGGCAAAGAAAGAGAGTATGCGAAATGCAAGCCACCCCATTCAGTCTCATTCTTTAGCTTTCCACGCTAGCTAGTTAACCAACATTTTACAAATGGAAACTGCATCTCCCTATTTCCACGCAAAATTACTATAAGTTTATCAACAAAATGTCAATTGTGACCATATTAACTGACTACGTGACATGGAATGTGTTAACTTTTGATCTGCACTTGGTGCTGTAACTGTTTGACCGTAGGAACCTTTCACCTGCTCTCCGGCTCTCCCATGATCCTCAGAAAAAGAAAAGTTTAATTCTTTGAGTATCTTGTACCATATGCCTGTAAATCGATGGAAAAAAAAAACGCCTTCTCCTTCTTCCTTTCATTTAATAAGAATTTCCAAGAAAAAAATCTTCAACTTTAAGTTTTTAATTTAATTTCGGCCATGGATAACAAAGAAACTAAGACCGCTCATGTTATATCGATCTGAACTGAGAACCAAAAGTTCTGAGCATGTTATTCTTCATATCAATTGCTCACGTCGGAGACTGATTCTGTTGATTAAAGTCGGATGGGTGGGGGGAGATTCCTATAATTTAGAGAAGGGTAATGCTAGGTGTCACATCCCGGCCCGAGCTCCCACCACATTCCAGGCTCGACTCCACCGTAGCACGATATTATCCGCTTTGGGCCCTGACCATGCCCTTACGGTTTTGTTTCTAGGAACTCACACAAGAACTTCCTAGCGGGTCACCCATCATGGGATTGCTCTCACGCGAACTCGCTTAATTTCGGAGTTCCGATGGAAGTCAAAGCCAGTGAGCTCCCAAAAAGCCTCGTGCTAGGTAGAGATGCGAATATATATATAAGACTTACAGGATTCTCACCCCTGGGCGATGTGGGATGTTACACTAGGAAGACCAAAATTTTAAACCAAATTAATGATGTGGTTGTTGATGATTAGATTATTAATTAAGTGTCGATTAACATGTTTATTTCTTATTAATGATACATAATTTGTTTTGCAAATCTAATTTAAAATTTTAGTCTCCTATCAATATCCTTTAGAGAAAATAGTTTTACAGTTATCCAATTTTCCTTGGATCTCGAGAAAATCAAATGCAACATTACAACTGAGGGAGGAGAGGGAGGAGGCAACGGGAAAGGCTGAAAACCAACAAACTAGGGTTTATGCGTGAAACGTATAAAGATGTTTATAGATGCATATTTTAATTTAATATTTGCAGAAGTTCAAAATCACATTACTGGTAGCTCATTATGAGACTAAGCACACTTTCTCCTTCTTAGTGTATATAATATTGTTTGTTAAAAAATAAAAAATAAAAAATATCTATTCTAAAATTGAGGAGGAATTGACTGTTCATTCAGCTACAGTCAATTGTTTGCCCCTTGATTTCATCTCATTTACAATAAAACCATGAGATTTGGGAACTTAGAAGGGTAATTTTCTCTGCAGGGTTTAGGATGGATTACCCCTTGATTTCACCTTATTTACAAGAAATCCATCATATTTGGGTTAGGTTGGAAGGGCAATTTTGTCCTCTCAGTTTTGAGCGAATTCGGGGGTTGCCGTGCAAGTTTTTATTTGTTGTCCTTCAATGAGGGTTTTGGGGGGATGGAAGCTCTAACAAAGAGAGGAAGCAAGAGAGAGAGAGACAAAGAGAGACAGAGATCGAGATAGATGGCGATGAAAAGAGAGTGAGGAGGAGGGGTATGGGTGATGGATTTCAGAAGTGGGAGAGTGGGGATGGTCAGAGAAAACCATACGGGTCGTCCGGATCTACTGCTACATGACTGGATTTCCAAAGATAAATTCCTTTTTTTAATTTGTTTTTTTACTGTCAGCTTAGATTGTCATCGTTTCTGCCTTTTTGTTGTGGATTATTTTCGATTTTTTTAGTGTGTTAGGTCAAGTTTTGGGGAATTCATCAGAGATGTTAATTTCCCTTATTTTTTTTGTTTTCTCTCATTTTGGACATTCATCTCTCTTTCTGTCTGTTTGTTCTCTGTTTTAAGGTCAGTTGCTTTTTTTTTTTTTTGGGTTTTTTTGTGTGGCTTTTTATTTATTTTTCCAGGTTATAGATCTAATGGTTTTTTGTATACCAATCTTGGTTTAGTTTTTCCTCGAAAATTGTTTTTATCTGATTGTGGGTTCGTGGGTTTTAATTTCTTTCGTTTGTTTCAGGTTGCAAAGTAGGAGGTTCTAACCTGAGGGTTCAGTTCAAGGTACTATTATTATTATTTTTAGTTCTTATAGTTTAATGTTTCGAACTGATTTGATGATTTGGTTGTGAAATGTGGGATATCTATTCAGCTTATGTTGCCTATGTGATGTTCTCTGTTTTTATTGCTAGGTAGAGATTCCATATACTCTAGGTCTCTAGAAAACACCTCTTTAGTTCTACGAGAGGAACTAAATAACACATTTTTCCTGAATCCCATAAGCCTGCAAGAAGCAAAACAAGCTAAGAGTCATTTATACAATATAAACACATGAACTCTGTTCGAATTCTTACTCTTATTCTCTCTATTTTTTGGCTGTTTAGTTTGGACTCCCATCGCAGCGTCATCATTTTGGTATGCATATGTGGTTCTTGGTTTGAAGAACAAAAGTTACCTTTGTTTTGAAATTGCAATTTAGTTGTTGTATGTGTCTGTGTGAGTGTTTTGTGAATTTGATTTTAGGACTAAAGTTATATTGGTTTTGAAATGGTCTTTGAAGATGATTGTGTTATTATATAAACTGCATATAATTTGGATATGATGAGAAAACTAATTAAACTGAATCTTGGTAATGATTTAGTTCTTGAGAAGTTGTCGAAAAACAAAGTTTAAATAGGAAGAAGATCATCCTTACCAGATAAGTCATTCATAGCATTCTGAGCATCTTGAAAAAGTAAATGAGAGTATGATGCGATTCAATATAGTTACAAATCGACTGACTGTTAAAGGTTGAGGCTGAGCTCTAAACTATTGACACTTTAAAAGAAAATTAAAAATTTAATGTCAATATATCAAGCTGTTACCTAAGTTCTCTCATCCTAATCCCTTGCATTCATTTACCAGTCTATCAGAAGCTACCATTCAGACTCACAATAGAGTATTAATAAAAATGAATTAACCATGCATTCCGAAAGATAACAGAGGTAAAAACTTAGTGTCTAATTTAGTGTTCTGTAGTTTGAGAACTAGGGTTTTGTTGCTTTAGAATCTTTATGGGTAGTTGTATTTACTCAGAGTTCTCTTTTTTTTTTTGCTGGAACAAATTGCTTTATTTTAAGGTTAATTAGTTGCTTTCAGTTTTTTTATGAGCTTTGAATTATTGGAGCTTTGGACTGCAAATTGTTTATCGTAGCTATTTTGAATGAAGCATAAAGGTGTGGCCTTTTAGGTGATGTGGTTAATTAGTTACTTTCAGTTTTTTTTATGAGCTTTGAATTATTGGACTTTTGGACTGCAAGTTTTTATGGTGGCTATTTTGAATGAAGCATAAATGTGTGGCCTTTTAGGTGATGGTTGTTTTAGTATAACTATAAGCAGCATAACTATATTACTTGCTACTAATTGAGAGAGTGCACCTGCAATTCAAGCCCTTAACGTGTTCTTTATTTTTTTTAATTGAAAATCATGTTTTCGTACCCTATGTTTCCACCTTTAATTAAGGAAGTGGTAAGATGTTGGATCGTCTATTGATGTGTTATCTGATTCAGTGTTTGGGTGATTCCTAAATCAGTTGTGGCTCCTACTTATTGTTCACATGTTCTCGAGCATAAATCAATAAATCTTAGAAAAAAAAAAACATTTTCTTTGGTACCTGTACACAGTTGAACATTTTTTTTCATAACTTTTTCGGGTGGTTTTTTCTGTGATTTCAGAAATTGGGGATCCATTTGAAAGACAGTAGTACGGATAGACACTTGGACACCTATATATAAGTTATTGTAAATATGTTAGTCATTGTAAATGTGGTTGTGAATAGATTTTCACATGTATGTAAATATGTTAGTCATTGCAGTTTTTGGTCTTTTTTACTGAAATTGTTTTGGTCCCTGCCACTAAACTTTGATTTCTGCTATTAATTGCTGCTGAAATGTGACTTTTGCTATTAATTTTTTTCCCTTCATATTTATGCTACTTTTGGATTCCATTCGAATTAAATAATGCAGTTAATCTTCGTATGAATACTCTCTGCAACAATAATTAGGGATTTCAGTTTAAATTATTACTGATTTGTTCTTGATCTGGCATTGAATCTTTCTTAATTTGGACTGCAAGTGGTTCTGACGCGGAGGAGAATCTGCAAGAGGTTATGATCTTGCTGCACTTAAGTACAGTTGTTCTTCAACTCATATAAACTTTTTGGTAGGGTTTAAACTGTTAAGAATTCTATGATTTTGTAAAAGCTTTTTAGCTTACACTATACAACTTGAGTTGGTATGGGTTTCTTGCTAACTGATATCACTTAGGAATTCTAAAAGCAGTTGCATTTTACAATATACAACTTTAGTTAGTATCAGTTTCTTAATTAGTGGCATGTGAATTCTTAATTTAATTTTGGAAGGAGATACGTTTAAAGTTGGTGCGATGTGATGAAGTTAGCATTATGTTTTTTATTATATACTGGGGGTGAACATTTTTAGCATATTGGTTGAGAAAGATTTTTCATTTTCTATAAAATAAATCTTCATTCTCACCATGTTGTTGATGTTTTTTGTAATTTGAGTTTATAGTGCTTCTAAATGCTGTTTTAATTTTAGGAATTTGAATAATTGTTTTAATTTCGGTTAATGCAGGATTTGAAATTTGTGATGATCATTTTTGTGTATTTCTATCAATTTTGTGACAAAAAAGCATGTGAAAAAGCACATTAGTCTCTTGGTATAAATCACATTAGTCTTATTATGGCTAGGATAAAAAACCATGTGATAAACTGTGGCTTTTCAATTATTTTATCATGCATCTATAAACCAGAGGTCCGATTAAGGCAAAAGAGAAATAGAATTGCCAGAAATACAACTACATTGTCGGGTCCGATTAAGGCAAAAGAGAAATAGAATTGCTAGAAATACAACTACATTGTCGGGTCTAAATCTTTTAGACACATTTAGGTTGATTTAGGAAAAGTTTAGGACAAAGATAAGTCTTCGTTCTTCAAAGATTAGAAAGGTGACAATGTAGTAAAGGTGTAAGAGTTTCCTAGGATGAAGGAAAAAGAGGAATACAGTCAGCATTTACACACTAAATTAGGCCAAGAGTGAAAACCAACCAGCAAAGATTATGGTAATTCACTAATCTAGACATAAAACATCTTTGAGAGTGATACTCACCCATTGTCAGTTTTCCTTGCGAGCATATTTCCTACCCAAATTTTCCCAAACTGTTCTCAAACCGTTGCATCGACATATCTTTCCAACTTCTAATAGTCTCTGGTGCTAGAACATCTTCTAACTTCATTCTAAACAAATAGATTTATAAGTAAAGACATCTAAAGCAGGTAAGCAAACTGTTTAATGAAGAGGAAATTCAAAAGTAGAACCAAATAAACCACAGTCCAACTTTCGCATACCCTCTAATGTAATTTAATATCAGAAACTGTCTCCTGAATTCAAGTTTGCCTGGAGGTTCTAATTGTGCTTGCCCATCATGTCTTAATTTGTGCTTCAAAAATAGATAGTTATCACAACCAAACAATTGATCACGATGATGCTTTTTGTAATTTGAGTTTATAGTGCTTCTACATGCTATTTTAATTTAGGACTTTGAATAATTGTCTTCGGAGTAGGTTTTTCCAACTACTAAATACTGATTTACTCTTTTCTTGGTATCATTGATCCAACCAAACTAGGTTTTTGCATCATGTACTTTGATAAATATGATTGATTGATATATTGATTCTTTTTATTATTCACATGATGAGATGTTGCCTAGAGAATGCATCGTCTCTTGCAAAAACTTTTTTAATATCAGATTGTAGTTGTTGAGATTAGACAGCTATTTTGCTCCTTATTTTGTAGTTGTTTTTGGTTTTTTTTAGTTTGTGGCCTTTACTGTTTAGGGAAATTTTTGAGGTTTGTTGTTGTTACAGGGTTAGTGGTAACAGATTTGCTATGTTTGTGAATTTTAGAAATTTGGATACTCGGAAGGAACACTTGGAACTTTGGCTTTTTCAGGTATATTTATTTATAGCGATTTTGTAATTATTTTGTTAAAATTTTTAAGCATGCTTGGATTTTAAGGGGTCACCCTTTCTTTTTGGAATTTTCTTCGCTGTCAATCAGACAATCAGCCGTCAAATTTTGCTATATCCTCAAATTTTTTATGGTGTTTGTTGTATATTGACTCTCGATGTCGGCTTAATAGAGTAAGCAATGTAAATTAAATTGCTTATTTTATGGATCAATTCATCCATCTCTTGTTTTTTATTTCATTTGGAGATAATTGTGTAAATGTGTGTTTTTGTGAGCGTTACTCATGTAAAACATGCGTTCTCAGACTTGCTACATTTATAAATGCAATTGTATTGTTGTATCATTTTCAGTTAATTTTCTATGAATATTATTCATGGTCTGAAAACCCGTAGCAAAGCACGGGCATTCCTGCTAGTATTTACTGAAGTTCAATAAAAATCAATTAATCAATCTATGCATGCTTATCAATTATTGTTGCTAAGTCAGTATGTATGAATAGTTGCTTTAAGTTTTGATGTGCAAAGTTCTACAGAATGAAAGCGTTCTACGGTGCCATCTGGGTTGCAATGCTGGACCCATAAAATTTTCACTGGTGGGCAAGTTTAAAGACTTAAATCTTCATACATAAAGAAACTTGACCCTGTATTTTTCATAGTATTATCTAGCTTAAGAAAATTTTCACAAGGGAGCCAAGAATTTTCGTTATTAAACAAATACGTGTTAAAATTCAATCGAATCCAAAATTGTGCATGTACAAGAAGTGATGACACTAGTAGAAAAAACTATTTGCGTGACCAAACTTTATGCGATGAAAGGAAACTCGTCGCGAAAAATAGGTTAGCATGACAAATATACAATTTCATCGCGTGCAACTTCATCAGAAATAATTTAATGGGACAAACAACTTGCGTGATGCAATCTTTCTTCGCGTAAAACCACTTTGCACGATAAAAAAAACCCTTCGTCGCGCAAAGGTTTGCAGAAAAACGTGTGGATGCCTGTATTTTGGCACCAAAAATAGATACGGTGTGTGTTACTTTGCAGGACCAATATTTCATCACACAAAGGTTCACGCATTTACTAGACTGTCAGTTGTTTAGTCAAAGTGTTGAATGTGGTATTTACTCCATGGTTTTGAGCGACGAAGGTTTCATCGCGCAAAAAAGCCAGAATTTCTTTAAATTGACAATTTTGCTCAGTTTCAACACAATTCAATCTGAAAACTCATTACCTTCACCGAATCATTATTCCAATTTTTTTTGTACGCGATGGCAAACTCTGGTGGTCCTTCGTCAAAGAGAGTTCAAGGTGAGGATTCTGAGAAAGGTAATACGTACTAAATTTTGTTGGTTGTGTAAATTAATTAAATATTTAAGTAGACTAATATAAGTTTTTATTTTGTTGGTAGAAATTTAGGGGCGATGCGTGATAGATGCAGAGTGAATTGGGAGTCTTGGAGAGATGTCCCCATGGAGATAAAGACGGTCATGATCGATGTGTTAGTAGTACGTGTAAATTATTAATTAGTTAAATAATAATTTAGTTCTTTAGATAAAATATAATAGTGATATGTATAATTTATTTATTTTTGCATATCAGCCTGATTGGGACATTGACAAAAGTGACGCAAATATGTTAAAGTGTATTGACGTTGTGTTCAATTATCATTTCCAGGAGTTGAAGTTTGATGTTGAATGTGACACAGAGCGACATGGAGTTGCTGGACCAGTAGATGATTAGAATAGTTTTTTTTATTAGTCTATTTATGGTTTATTAAATAATGACACTGAACTATTATTAATTTGGAAGAATAAATTTATATGGACCGTATTTATTTTGTTTCGTCTCGAGAACATATTTCCAAAATAATATAATATTGACATTAGTATTTTGAGAAACTATTTTCAAGACGGAATAAAATAAATATTTCTGATCGTCACGCGAGGATTTACGCAACAAAATAATTGTTGCTAAAACCTTTGAGGGACGAGGTTTCATCACGCAAAAACACTGTAAAACGTTTGGTTAGCGTTTGTTCTGAAAATCAGACATTAATTAGTTGCACCACGACATTGTCTAAGTCCTCTGCAAGTTCGAACAAATATTTTCTCCAACTTTCTTCACAAGTATGATCCATGTTATGGTTCACTTGCAGGAGGAGGCATTGCTTGCTGGACCAGTTAACTATCGATGGATGTATCCAACAGAAAGGTATAAACTCGTTATTCAAATGTTTATTCATCGTCATACAACGTGTTTATCTAATTTATTTGTTAACGGTGTTTGTATTTTTTCAGGCTTCTGGAGACCAAAAAAGAGTGTATGAACAAGGGCCAAGCTTGAATGATCCATTGTAAAGGCTTGGGTCGCAAACGAGTCCCTTACATTTTGTGGAATGTATCTAAAAGACGTTCTGACGGCTTTTAAATGTCCTCAGTGCAATAATGACAGGGGTGTGCAAAAGAGAAATTTTCTTTTTTTGCCCAAGTCGCACGACCTTTTGGTGAGCTTGTTCAAGGGGAGGCATTTACCAAAAGGACATGGAGGTTGCGCATTGGTTCATACTGACAATTGTGAAGAGACAATGATTTACCTAGATGAGCATGAACAAATGATGATGCGGGAGTATCCTTCACATCTATATGCGAAGAAGCACCATGAATTCTTTCCTCGTTGGTTTCTCGAATATGAAGTTTTTTGCTTTTGTATTGAACATGTTATAGTAATTTCATCAATATATTCGAAGTGGCTAAAACAAGAAGCTATTTTTTGCTATCATGTCAGGTAAATCAGTTAAAAGCATCAAATTCACCCGCTTACACTAAAGAGTTATATAACTTGGCATTCAGTCCTATTCGGGCATAATTGTACTCCATTTGCCATGTTAACAGAGTCAAGTTTTTGGGGGCTGAGTGTGATGACAAGTTGTGTACGCAAAACATGCGGTGTCTATTTCCCAAGTGGTGGCGAAGGTACAAACATGGAGCTTTATGATAAACTATCCAGTGTTGTACAAGTGTTGTACAAAGACCATTACCAAGTTATTGTTTTTAAATAGTCGATGGTTTGATACAAACCCACATAGGCACGTTAAAAGGGACCATGGCTTACTCTCAGTCAACACTACCAAAACTTGGTACGATGACGACCCTTATATTTTGGCAAGTATGGCAAAACAAGTATTTTTACGTAGATGACCTTAAGGTCAGAAGGGGTTGGAAAGTTGTTCAAAGGATTGAGCATTGAAACGTGTATGCTATACCGGATTGAGATCCTAGTTCTGATGGGGACAACATCAATGTCGCGGACCAATGTCTTAAGTCTTCAATAGAAATTGGTGGGGAAACAGTAAGGGATAATAATCTTATCCAAGAACCATTTCAGATACCGGGCGTTACTGGTATCGAAATACTGATTGACTCAATTTCAATTGACCTCGGTGATCTTCCCCGATATGATCCATCAAAGGATGCAAATGACCACTACTACAAAACCATTTATTAGTGTCGCTATGATAACCAACAAGAAACGTATATTACTGTCGAGTAAGCAAAATCCAATAGAAAATGGTTACAGTAACGGATATAATAAGCAACAGAATAGCTAGCGTCAGGAAATGAATTTTCTGACAAAAAATACTCTAAAACCGACAGAACTTGTGTCGGATATAACCGACAGAGAATATGTTAATAATGAATGAATAAGAGCATTCTCTGTCGGCTAAAACCGACAGAACTTGTGTCAGATATAACTAAAAGAGAATTTATTAATAATGAATAAATAAAAACATTCTTGTCGGATAAAACCGACAGAAAATATATTAATAATAAAAAAAATATAAACCACTTTCTGAATCATTTCTTTCCCTTTCAAGTTGGCTAAATAATTAACAGGATTAAATATCAACCTTGGATGAACACAAATTTGGGTTTTAAAAGCCCTTCAGAAACGGCTTTTCTTGGTTCCCAATGGGGTTCTTTGTTCATTGTTCTCTAGGTTCCTGCCATAGATGCACTATATTATGGGGATGCAATTACACATTTTGTTGAGGAGTTGAATGCTTTGGAAGTTGTAGTTGATGATTCTAGAGCATCTAAGATGATCGTTGTCCAATTTAATTCCGTAGTGTCTTCTTCTAACTTCCTGGGTAAGTTCCAGTGTTCAATTTTTATACAAGAAGTGAAAATTGGAAAAAATTGAATTAAAACCCTAATCTTGCACAACAACTAATTCGACAAAATTGAACTACATAAAGCACAAAAAATCCCAAAATTGAAAGTAATCCAAAACCCTAGAAAAATAGTTGTAGTAATTGTTGCGCTGGCCACTTGAGTTCCAGAGCTCTTCTGCGGTCAAATTACACGAAGTCTTCTGCACGATGACAAATCGAGGTTGAGAATACTTCAGAGCAATAAGACGCAGAAACTGCAAAGGGTGGAGAGTGCAAGTGTTGAATTGGAAGTAAATGAGGAGAAAATAGAAGGAAAAGGAAATGAGGAGAAGAGAAAAGGGGGAAAGAAGGGGGAAGAGAGAAGGCACCGGTGCAAGGAAGAGATGTAGGGGTTTTATTTTGGAAAATTTTCATTACTATAGGTTAAAACTGACAGTAACATTTTTTAAAATATAAACCGACAGAAAATTTTCATTACTATCGGTTATAACCGACAAAAACAAAATGGCGGCAAAACTCCCTCCCAAAATTTTGTTACGATTTTAAAAAATAAAATAATAATTGTTTGGTTTAATAAATAAATAAATAATATGTATTTAAATAGAATACATTTTTAAAATTAAATAAATAATTGTTTGGTTTAATAGATAATAACCCATGTAAAATATGCAATAAAGAAACAAAAAGATAATTGTGCAATGAAAATGTCATCACACAAACTAAATATTGTCTAATCAATACTTGAAAAACATAAATAAAAATTTAGCACAAATTACTTTTCCCACTTCAAAATTTAGGCAAATTTAACGGAGATATGCATTCTACGAAACTAGTTTCAATGATCTAACCGTAAAACTTGTTTGTAGATACTACAAGATCGCATACGTAAAAAATCAAACAAAAAAAAAAAAAATCAGAGATTAGGTAATGGAACAAAAGTTTTCAATGGTTATCAACGAAAAATCACAATTTAATGATTATTTTAGCTCCGGTTTTGATGATTTTTTTTACAGCTACACTTCTCGACCCTATAAGAATGCAATGACTGAATTCGATCTTCAATTTAAAATATTTACACTAGTGGATACCACAAAATCTTCTTTTATACTTAATGAAAGTATAATATTAACTCTTAAGTATTTGTTTAATCTACCGTTTTGACGTGATATGCA